CTAGTCCTTATCTTTTTAGTAGTACTAAGCTTAGTTGTGGTGCTTTCCTTTAAGTATAAAAAAGGGTGGTATAGACTACCCTATAGCGTTAATACTAGCAATTAAGGTTATCTACTTATAATTGCTAGGTTAGACTCTAAGTAGCTTTATGCGCCTCTCTAACGCAGTAACAACTTTAATAGACCCTCTAACGCCTATTTAGAAGCCTGTCTTGTTAAAGTTGTAGGTATCTTTGTCTAGGATACTATACTTAGCTTTAATATTGCGCACAAGGTTAAACTAGGGGCTTATAACCTTAGGATTGCTGCAGAGGACCCTCTGGCGATCGCGCAGGCGGGTAACCTGCGACTTGACGTTGGCGCGCTGGCTTACAAGCCGGGAGACCTAGTTAGTGCTAACCCTCCCTCTATTGCGTACGGCAAGCAGTTAGTTAGCCATATCTTAAACGTACAGAAGCGTAGGAGCAAATCCTTGCTCATTAAGCTTCCTTATTATTTGTATAAGCACCTCCTCTTTATGCTTTGAAAGATTTGAGCAGCTAGGGTAGAGATTGCGTTGTGCAGTTATGCCAGCGTGTTAGTCACTAAGGGTGCTTTAAGGAATGTTGTAGATAGCAGCAGCGTGTCTTATACTTAATAACGCGTTGCATTTAATAGCTTTAAGTGCAAAGAGTATTCTATCCTTACAAGAAAGCAGCTCAGGATTAGGTGGTTGCGGCATTAAGTTATGATGTGGAATGTGAGGTGTGCTTGGCAGGGTGGCCGAATCGATGGTGTGGCCGAATCGATGGTGTGGCCGAAGCGATGGTGGATCACGTTATAAGAATATTATTTAAGAATAGTAGGTAAACTAAGAATTTTACGTCTAGGCCTGCCTGTTCTGCAATGTGTGCTTGTTAGCAGGTGCTTTGTTTTGTGCTGTTGCAGCTGCTACGTCGTGTGCTGTTGCAGCTGTAGCTGATATGTTGTGTGCTGGCGCAGCTGCAGCTGCCATGGTGTGCTGTAGGCTGGCGGATGGGTAGGGTATGCTTTTTTACGTTTTGGCTTATAGCTTCTTAACTAGCAGAGATACGCTTACATAATCTATTATTCGATAGAAGCGCCTAGTATTGCGCCTTCTAATAAAAAAAGAATTAGCTTATTCCGCCTAGTATTAGCTAAGTTATCAACACTACCTAGCAAAGTATACCTATTAATGGGTATGCTCGCTAGGTACCCCCCCTTTTTTAACCTTTTCTAGCCTCTAGCTTGTGCAGTTTAATAGTTATAACAAAACCCTCTACTACAGAAATGTAGAGGTAGTTTTTCTCTTTCTTTTAAGCCCTATTTCGCTAGAATCCATGTATTATTGACAAAGTTCTGGGGGGTACCCACGAAGGACGTTGGAGTATACCCATTCCGCCAGCCTAGTGTGCTGTCGCAACTTTAAAACACAAACCTTTAATAAACAAACCTTCAACGCTCTATAACTTGCGTTTTAGTAGGCCTATAATAATAATTTTTTACTTATTTTAAAGCTACAATTTCGCTCTATCTGTACGAGAAATTTCGCAATTTTTAAATATTTAATACTAGTGCTAGCAGAACTAAGGGTAGCTATATAACAATATTGTAATGTTGTTTTAAGTTTAACATGGTTGGCAAGCAAGTCGGTCAGACAAGTAAGTCGGTCACCCCACCAACTTTAATCACCTACTCTATCTTAACACACAATGCCTCCACGCCGCGCTCCTCTTATGCAGTTAAATGAAGCAGATATTCAGCTTGCTCTCTTATCTATAGATTCTGCCCAAATTCAGAGTACGCAACGCGCTGCTACAATCTTTAATATCCTAAAATCAACCCTAATTGACCAGCGCGCTAGAAAGCGCGCGCGACGCGATTGCCAGCCTAACTCAAGGAAGCTTACCTAGAGAGAAGAGGAGGTGATTGTCAGCTATATACTTCACCTAGATCAGCGTGGATTTGCGCCTACCTACGCAGCTGCACGTGATATGGCTGATAAGCTGCTGGCTGCACGCGGCGCTGGCCAGGTTGGGCAGAAGTGGCCAGCTAACTTTGTTAAGCGTACAGACAGTCTTCAGACGTGTTTTAACTAAGTGTACAATAGGCAGCAAGCTCTGTGTGAGGATGTGATATTAATAAAGAGGTAGTTTAAGCTTATAGAAGAGACAAAGGCTAAGCAGGGTATCTGCAATAAGGACATCTATAACTTTAATAAAGCTAGCTTTATAATGGGCAAGATTACAACGCAGCTAGTTATAACAGGAGCAGAGAGGAGAGGCAGGCCAAAGACTCTTCAGCCAGGCAATCGCGAGTGGGTAACGCTGATCGCTGCTATTAGCGCTGCTGGCTGGTCAGTGCCACCATTCCTTATCTTCGCTGGTCAGTACTACCTATCAGCCTGGTATGAGGAGGATATCCCACGCAACTAGGCAATCGCAGTCAGCAACAATGGCTGGACGAATAATAAGCTTGGAGTTAAGTGGCTAAAGCACTTCAACGCTTACACGCAGGCTCGTAGTATAGGCGCGCGTCGCCTGCTTATTATTGATGGCCATAAGAGCCACCAATCTCTAGCGTTCCAGGAGCTCTGCAAGGAGAACAACATCTACACGCTCTGTATGCCACCTCACT